ACGGAAAGATACGCAAAAAGGTGGTCATCCAGGACCAAACGGATTCTAGCAGTGTACCGGGACTGGGGACCCTTGAAAATGAAAATACTAGTGAATCTTCTAGAGCACTTGTTGTAGTGCTAAAGTCCCAAGTTCACATATTCTTCATTTCGGGTGATAGCCATGTCGTTCCACTGCCGTTTGAGCTTGACTCGATATGGCCCACCCCAAACGGACTACTATTCCAACGGAAACTGCCTGAGAAACATGAAGCGCCTGTTCCACCAGCTCCTCCGAACTCCTTTGTTTCTTCCCAGCCTATGCATCCCACGTCGAGACACTCTGCTGCATCGTTCAGGCTCTCCAGTGGAACAGGAAACCGGCCACTGCTAGCGTTTTCTCCGTCTCAGCCTTCAAAATACCTTCTCAAGACTGAAAAGGATGACTCTGCACCACGACTATTCTCTCTTCTTGACCCTCATTCAGAAATGGGACTCGTGGCAGTCTCTTCCTCTCCTCATGATGATAATGAATTACACAAGCGAACTGACATTTTAAGCCAAACTGAGGAGCTTCTTTATGTATCCCCTACTAGTGAAATACCCTTGGGGGTGCCCACAAAAGGCGCCTCTCCTCTGATATTACTAGTTACATTAAACCCGAAGTCAGGGTTGCACAATATATGGGTTGCAAAATATAGACCCAGGGAATCCCCTATATCTTCCCAGAATCAGCGGAGAAAGTCATCAAGTACTCGCTCAAAACGGCGAAGTTCCCACTTTGATATTACTACCGGCACGTCAACGCCCGTTGGCCCAGGGCCATCGAGTTTTAGGGAAAGCTTTGGAGGGCCGGGACACGGGCGTAACGCGTCTCAGCAGCTCAATCTTGAAGGTAAACAGGAGGGAGCTGCAGACCTTGCTTCACACCTTGGACAGGAGTTTGAAGATGTTGGTGTGACATCTAAAGCGTCAAGAAGAGTGAGCTCTCTACTTGCCCGTAGTGACCTAATGGCAAATAATGATAGGTCAACATTCTCTGATCTTGCCGGAAGCCAACTCAAATCCTCCTTCCACGGCGGGTCCCGAAGGGGGGAGTCATTTGGAGGTACTGGCCTTCGCCTTAGTCAGAGCTTTAACCGAAGGGGCTCTCTCCCTCCAGGAACCGCGTCTGTCTACAGCAATGGCAGTAGTTTTCTTGACGCGCCTGTTGATAAGCTTCTGGAAAGTCTAAATAACGGTGGTGATTTCGACGGGTTTGAAAGTATGGGAATTAAGGAAACTGTGTCCAATCTCCCTCGTGAAGTTATCCTTTCGAAGATAGCGAGTGTGCCTTCAGGCATTATATCAACCAACGCTCTCCCATACAGCCAGAAAACCTGTCCCTTTGAAGTTTTCACTCTGGCTTCATCTGATGAATCTACATTAGAAGACCCCGAATCAATACCCCTAGCAGTTTGCATCCTCAATCGAAACTCAAAAGACTTGATTGTTGTAACCCTAAGTGCGCAGAATTTGGGTTCTCAAGCTCGGCAGTATGAAAAAGGGGACAATGATATCTCAACATACAAAGTTCGCGCACTCAATGTTCGCCACGGTTCAAACGTTCTAGACTGCTGCAAATTGGTTGACAGCGGCGTTTCTCGAATGCTTGTACTTTCCTCTACTAGTGATGGTAGAGGGGAACTAACGCTCCAAGCCCCATGGAGCACACTGGTGAGGGTGGAACTCCCAGATAGTATGTTTCTACATGAGCCGTCCAATATATCCATGGAGTTAACTCCGTCAAATCTCCGTGAAGGAGGACTTGGACGGGTGCTCTGCAAGACGCCTCTAAATATGCGTCGTCTCACCCAGTCAACTGCCGGCGGAAAGGTAGATATCACCGATGAGCAGAATAGAAAGCACAGAATACAGATCCAGCTTCAGCCGTCTAACTCTCTTGTGAGAAGAATTCTGTCTCTTTGTCGATATGTTTTACGACATGCCGAAAGGGCTGGGGATGGGGTCCATATCGGGTGGTGGCAAGCTCTCAGGTGGCTTCGTGCAAGGGATGTGAGGGAAGAAAATTTGGAGTGGACCGCTTTGGTGGTCATTCTCTTCTCAATGGCAGTTTATTTTATTGACGATGTTACTACGGAGCCTAAAGTTCTGCCGAAGAAGAAAAAGAGGTCGGCCCTAGTGCGATCCAGCACTGGAAGCTCAATTGACTTGACAGATTGGCACAGTATGGTTGACCAAGAATCAGGTTCAGCTGGTATCTGCGCATCATGGATGTCAACCACAGCCTGGGACTGGATACGAGAAGAACATATCAAAAATCTAGTGGAGAGAACTCAAAGTCACCGGACGGTTGACGACCACAAAGCAGAAGGCCAACCAAACGACAAGAATACATATATCACTCGGTGCGCACAGCTTGCCCGTGATTTTCTCTCATCACCGCAGGGTGAGGCTGCTACTGGCGGAGATGGTTATCTTCCCATTGCTATTTCGCGAGACCAAGGTACACGAAGGACGGCCCTTGGTACCATCCTAGTAGGAATACACCTCCTTCGTGAGGAGCTTAAGCTATCAGTTGCCAACACCGACAACTCCCGTTCTGAAAAGGGGCTCTTACTTCCTGTGCTTGCTCAAATAGGCGGATGGTTAGGCTGGGATTCCTGGACCTGGAAAGAGGGTAGCTACTACGGCACAGAAACTGCCAGTATTGATGGGTGGGCATTTGAAGATACCCGCATCACCGGGCTAGACATGCCCACAGAGCCCTTCACGCCTCCATCTATCTTCAGCTTTGTTGAGGATACTCTTCAGCGTACCCCGTCTTCATTCCTAACGCTAATGGACGTCGTATCTAGCTCGACTATCGCGCCTGGAAGTGGCAAGATCTGGGACCAAGCAGTGAATTTAACCCCTAGAACTTTGGCCCTTACCGGGTTCCTTTCCGAAGTTAGAAATAAGCAATCTGCTCCTGAACGAGTGGTCCTATTACTTCGCTGGGGAATCACATCTTCTTTGATTGACACTCTTCCAGACGGCATTAGCACCCCCTTACACCAAGCCATTTTCGACTGCCAGGGGGATCCCCCGCTTTCCTGGGGCTCCTCGCTACTCGAGCTTGTGGATAGAGAAGACTTGTTTCTTTCTACATCTAGCGAGACTCCCCAACTCCCAGCTTCTCGCTCCCAGTTCATCCAGCCTCATGATGCCCATAGAGATGTCCGAAGTATCGGAAATTCAGTTCTTGACGGTAGCTCGACCAATTCGTTCGAGATTTCTGCAGAAGCTGACCGTCACTGGATCACTAAACTGATATTTCGTGATGATAGACGCTATTTTGAGGCTGCAAGGATTCTTAATCAGATGAAAGCTCCAACTGCAGAATGTACACCCGAGCCCGACTGGTCTGAGTCTGATCTTTTGGAAGCACAAAAAGAGCTCGTCCAGCTAGTGACGCTGAGGACGTTGTCCATTCCTGCGGGACGAGCTATGCTTTGTTTCGACGGGCGTGTACCCCTGCTCACGGAAAAGTTACCAATCCCATCTTTCTCACTGCAATGTATTATGAAGCCATCAAATGTTACAATAAGCGCCGATAGATCAGCTTTTGTGGAAGAAAAGGCATGCTGGGCTTTTTTCCACAACGGAGTTTCCACTGGGCTAGCAATCTCGAAATCCGCCAAGGGGATTGATACCTCGTGGATACTCTATAATAAACCAAATGAGCTCACTAACAGACATGCAGGGTTTTTATTGGCTTTGGGGCTCAATGGACATTTGAAAACCCTTGCTAAATGGGTAGCTTTCAAGTACTTGACCCCTAAGCATACCATGACCTCTATTGGCCTACTTCTGGGGTTATCCGTATCCTATCTAGGAACAATGGATACTCTGATCACTCGTCTACTCTCTGTCCATGTCACGCGAATGCTACCACCTGGCGCAGCCGAGCTCAACCTATCACCCTTGACACAGACTACTGGCATAATGGGTATAGGGCTACTCTACTGCAATTCCCAACATCGCCGCATGAGCGAAGTGATGCTTTCCGAAATCGAACACATGGAAGAAGAAGAGACTTCTGTTTCCCAGGAGCCCTTGCGATATGAAGGGTACCGACTTGCTGCCGGGTTTGCGTTAGGATTCGTTAACTTAGGAAAGGGAAGCGATCTTAGAGGCCTCCAGGATATGCGAATCGTTGAGAGATTGCTTGCATTGGCAGTGGGCACGAAGGAGGTTAATTTAGTCCATATTCTCGACAAAGCAGCAGCAGGAGCCACAGTTGCGATTGCAATAATTTTCATGAAGACGAATGATAAAGCTTTGGCCCAGAAGATTGATATACCGGATACCGAAGTCCAATTCGACTATGTTCGCCCTGATATCTTCCTTCTTCGAACACTAGCAAGGCATCTTATCATGTGGGATTCCATCAAAGCCAGCCAGAAATGGATACATAGAAGCCTACCCTCATTCTACCGGCACAAATACCGTTTGTCAGCCATCAGACGACTTACCACCGACGATATGCCTTACTTCAATATTGTGGCTGGGCTTTGCTTTGCTTTGGGTCTTCGATTTGCAGGGTCCGGGTCCATAGAAGCACGAGACCTTCTTGTTGCACATCTCGACCAGTTCATAAGGATTTGCCGAATATCGGCTTTGAATTATGACGCCAAATTAACACAGAATTCCGTACGAAATTGTCAAGATATCGTTGCACTTTCGGCTGCGGCAGTTATGGCTGGGTCCGGTGATCTAGTGACACTACGCCGGCTACGCTCTTTGCATGGACGCGTTGATGGTGATACTCACTACGGAAGCCATATGGCAACTCATATGGCGCTGGGTATGCTCTTCCTAGGTGGAGGTACCTACACCCTTGGAACCTCCAATATCGCTGTTGCCTCCCTTCTCTGCTCGTTATACCCAATTTTTCCGACCAGCGTCCTCGACAACAACTGCCACCTCCAGGCATTCCGTCATCTATGGGTTCTGGCGGCTGAACCTCGATGTTTGATACCCAGGGATATCGATACGCGCCGGCCCGTCACGATTCCAGTGTCATTGATGCTTAGGACGGGGGAGGTGAAAACGGCTACCGCCCCGTGCCTTCTCCCAGAGTTGGACGAGGTATCTTCAATAAAGATCGCCAGTGCTGATCACTGGACCATCACGCTGGACTTTGCCAGTAATGAGAGCTTAAGGAATAAGTTCCGGGATGGCGACCAGTCAATCTACTTGCGAAGGCGAGCCAACCATAATGATTCGGAGCGATCAGTCTTCTCTACCACGATTGCTGGACTTAGCGATGCCCAGGACATTCCGCCACCAGCAGCCATTCCGAGAAACACGCGACCTTTCTACGCAATGCCTCCTGCAAGTCTACATGCCTCGTTGCAGCCTAGCGACAAGGGCCCCGGCCAAGCTCGCATGCCACCACGTCACATCTGGGATTTCATATTCGATCTCCCGGCATTTTCGTCGCTGGATATGTCTGAGCGAATGGCTGTATTGCCGCAGATTCCATTCCATGAATCTCTGAAGTTACTCTCCTGTGGAAAGAAGCGAACCAGGACTAGTCCACCATCCTGGCTGCGACCTACCTCTGTCGATACAAGGCTCGTTCTCAACAGGACTATGCGTAACCTCATCTCTGCAGCAGCTAGCCATGGAGTGAGTGAAGAGGTGGTTCGAGATAGGCTCTGGCAGCTACGGCTGCTCTTTGCATGGATCGACGGTGCAAAGAATAGCAGCAATGACGTCGGTGGTAGCCATGACAAGGACGGCGTTTCCATGTCGATGAGCAGATGGCTCAAGCAAGAAGTCATCGAAGATGCCCGGTGGAAGATCTGGAGGATACAGTCCGGGGACACCAGTGTTGTAGATGTAGAATAGTGCCTTTAGCCACGTTATATATACATACATACCTACAGCCTCCAAAATATATACATCTCGTCCTCACCTTCAGATTTCAACCTCCTTTCCATGTGCTTAGTCATCAATCGATACGCAAAAGCAACGACATCGAACTTTCGCAGCAAGAAGAAAACGACCTCGCATTCACATTTTTCCTCGACAGGCGGGCTTCTCGCTATTTTCATGGCTGGAATGCAAGCTACGTCTCTTTTGCTCGGCAGACCGCGTGCGACGTCTCAATGACCCGGCGACAGCGCAAGCAGCCCGATAATCGACGTCGGACGGGCTGCTGGACATGCAAGGGTACAGTCCATACGAAAACCCCCCCCTTTCATGCATCAACGGAGATGCAGCCTCCCTCCCGCCATGGGAGGGATTCCCTGTATCTCCTCTGTACTCCTCTTTTTTGTGGCTTTGATGATCGTGTTAATGCTGACTGGAAATCTCGGGGTTGATTTGTTGGTTGGCCGCAGAGAAGCATGTGCAATGTACGGAGGAAAAACCGCGCTGCAGTCGATGCGTACGGCTGAATCTCGACTGCGTCCGGGGGCTAAAGCTGCTTTGGAAAGAAGATGCATTGCAGAGAGGGATTCGGTTCGGCCGTGAAGGTGACTCATATTGGACTCCTCCTGTTTCTTTGCTCTCAAAACATTTATTCTGGTAGCTATCGCTACTGATCCTCGAGCAGGCAGACTAATATTCACGAGACAGGTGCCAAACCAGAGTCTGACAGGAAAAATATTGAGCGGAACTTCCAGGCGGTTCCCATCGCCCAGTATGCTGGTCGCTGGCTGTTCTCAACACAACCTACTGGGACTTTGGTAGCTCGCAAGACCGGCCGCTGGAAGAACCCGAAAGTTTAACCCAGTTAAACGGGGCGGGAAGACGGGCATGCCCCTTTGTCCCGAGCCTGCGAGCTCCGCCGGGCCACCCACTGACATCCTTCTCCCAGACTGAACGCTATCTGCTGGACTACTTTATTGAGGGTATTGGGCCTAACTGCTCGCTGAGCCCGTTCTATAATCCGTACCTGTCTCTGATCACTCCGCTCGCTCTGTCGCATGCACCACTTCGCAATACCCTGCTCGCTATCGCGGCGAACCAGTTCTATCGACTCGGAAACGCTAAATTCGAGAAAGAAGCCTATATCTATAAACAGCGCGCTCTTGCCGGTCTCCAAAAGGAAATTAACGAACGTAAACCAAGCTTTGGCGCCGTTGCAACGGTCCTGATGCTCTGCTTTCATGATGTATGCTTCCATTTTCTTTCCTTGCTCCCTTCTTTCACTATCTCAACTTTTTTTTTCTTTCAATCTTCACCTTTCATTACTTCTTTATGAAAAGTAGATGATCCAACTTCCTGCATGCAATAATCTTAATCGCGGCTTTTTCTTCCTTTCTGCCACTATCTAGATATCAGACGGATGCACGCCATCATGGAAAACGCACCTTCGCGGCGGTATGCAGCTCCTAAACCTGCTTCCCCTGAAGACGGCAGAAGGCCATATGCTGAAGCAGTTCTTCGTTATGTACTTTGTTGCGCATGACATTATGGGACGAACAGCTATGGAAGATAGCTCGGAAGCAGAGACCCTAGAAAACGCATGGCTAGCAGATGACGATTTAGAGGAGGTGCGCGGCCAAGTTTCTTTCTTCTTTTTTTCCTCAAAACCTCTCGCTTACCATCCTGGAAGATTGATATGCTTATGGGCTGCTCTCGCGGGCTAATGAGCCTAATTAGCAAGATCTCAAATCTCGCTACCGAGAAGTCTAAGGTGAGTGTTCATTTCCGAGTAAAAAATGGAAAAAAAAAAAAAAAAAAAAAAAAAAAGGCTATAAAAGAAAAAAATGAAGGATTCACGTTTGAATCCGTCTGTTTCAACCTCCTAACAAATGTTCGTGCACATATGAAAAGATGTCAAAAAGTCGACCTCTCTCGATCTCAGAGCTCTCGTACTTCAACAATGCTCGTAACAATCTGGAGCTCGAGCTCCAAAGTGTCCAACAGACTCTCCCATCGTATGCGAAGGACCGAGACGACTTGCTGCGCGTTGCAGAAGTCAAGAGGTTGACTGCTCTTCTCTACCTGCGACAGCGCCTTGGGACTCCACGCAACTCATCAATCCTGAGCCCTGTAAGTGTGGGTCTATTTGCTCGATACCCCATAGCCTTTAATACGAATACAACCCAAGCACCCCCCAGCCCAGGGCCGCTGGCCATGGTCGAGTCTTCTACGCTTGCCTGGAAGGAGAAATTGGTCACAGATATCATTGCGATAATATCGACTCTGCCTGACACAGCGACCCTTCTTTGGCCGCTCTTTGTCGTTGGCAGCGTTAATATTGATAACGAGGAACATCGCCGATTTATACTTGAGAGGCTGCAGAACATTCAAAACTCTCGCAATCTAGGCAATATCCGCCGGGCAAGACTGGCCGTAGAATCTGCATATCGAGCCAGGGATCTTGATCATCCTCGAGGAAACGACTGGGGACGTGAAGGGCGTGGGATCAGTCTGGCATGAAAACCGACGAAGCGAAAGAAAGATGATAGAAATTGTTTTCCACTATACGGAGTAATTATACACTGGGTAGGGGCAGGGGGGTGGGGATTTCTGGATGTTGAATAGCTGGTTTCCATATTGTGACAGTGTGTGTACGTTTTGCTTCCCCCTGTTGATATTTACTCGCTTAATCATGTAACTGCTGCATTTTTTTCTTGGTTGAAATACTTTGATTTTTTGCATTTACCCGATTTTCCTTTTCTTTCCGCTGCCATTGTACCTTTTTGGATTGGGCGTGGGACGGATTATGAACCAGTCTGAGTCTGCAGCATGTCTGCCGATGTGTAGGTTCGCCTATCCCCATTCCACCACCCCTGAGTGCGTTGGCGGCCCGCAAGCGCCGTTTCCGTGTGCCACGGCTCCTTCGCTGACAAGGATACCCAGGCTTCGGCTTGCTTCCACTGACATCTCAAGCTTAATTGATGGAGCATGTCATGTCACTGCAGCCGGCGGCCTACGATCAACACGGAAAATGGAGATGTGAGCACATGCATATGTGCTAAATGCGTCGCAAGGGCCTCCAATATACGGGGCGCTCCCTTGCGGGCTGTTGATGTTGTCAAGCCACGGCCATGTACGAAAAAATTTGGACTAGCCGGTGCCATCCCACTCAGGTCAGGGGAAGAATAATATGCAGAAAAACTCATTCTTGCACTTTTTGAGGTGCGATAGTTTACGCAGATCCGTAGAGAATAGCTAACTATATAGTTATTCACTATGTTCCTTCACTCAAATACCCTTTTATACCCTTTCACCGTGCCATGGGCTCCTGGCGTGAATTTAGTCCATTTTGAGAGCGTCGACTGATATTTTTCTGTCCCTTGGTTATCAAAGCCTTCCAACTTTATACGGAGTACTCTTGACAGAAAGTGCGTCAAAAATTCTCCTAAGATGGCACGCAAACAGAAATATTGCGGCAACGGGGATAGCAATGAGAAGAACTTCGTCCAGTCTAATACAATAGCGTCAGATTTGTCTCCTGGGCTGGAAGACGATATGGTAGATCGAGCAGCTATCTACCTCACACAGGCCGTTGAATACCCACCCTTGACTCCCGAGGCCGAGAGAGCTATAGTCAGGAAGATCGATTGGATCGTTCTTCCTATGGTTAGTCGTCCAAAATTACCTGTCTGACATAATGATGAAAAACCCCTAAATAATTACTGACACATCCTTATAGCTCCTTCTTACTGCTACACTTGGGGCAGTTGATAAAGTGGCACTGGGAACAGCGGCCCTTTATGGACTAAGAGAAGATCTGGGCTTGAAGGGCCAGACGTATGCCTGGGCAGGATCTATTCTCCCAATCGGGGTGAGTTACATTTCCTACAATTCGTGTACAGATGTACCTAGGCTGATGGATTATGACATACACAAAGGCTATTGCAGGCATGTGGCCGTCATCATATCTAGTACATCGATTTCCGTCTGCCAAGTATCTTTGCGTTTGCTCCATTGGATGGTCAGCCGTTACCCTCCTTCTACCAACGTGCACTGGAGGGCAAAGCCTACTTGCATTAAGATTCATCATGGGTTTGGCTTCAATTCATACATAACGTGTGGAAGTTAATGAGTACGCTAATATTCTATAATATGTATGGGCAGGGTTCCTAGAAGCTATCATTGTGCCAGGGATATCACTACTGATTGCGGGTTTCTACAAAAAGAGAGAACAACCGCCGAGAAATGCCATTGTTTTCTCTGCTTTCAGTTCTGTCATTAACGGATTCCTCTCATATACTGTTGGCCGTATCCCTTCCCCTGCATCATTGAGGCTGTGGCAGTACCTCTTATTGTAGGTAAGTGACGCTCCGTTTGCTGCAGTATTTACGTATACAATGATACGAATAGGTTACCTAGGATCTGTTTCAATGGCGTGGTCGATATTTGCCTTTATATTTCTCCCGAATTCCCCAATGGATGCCCGTTTCTTGACAGATGAAGAGAAATACCACGCAGTCAAGCGCTTGGCCGAGAACAAAACTGGAATCGTCAACAAAAGATGGAAATGGAACCAAGTTACTGAAGCTGTTCTCGACCCAAAGACATGGATTATTTTCCTATTCAACGTTGCAATTAATATTCCTAACGGAGGTATATCCCCGTTTTATACTCACCAGTTGGAGGGATCGAATCTAACATCTGTACAGGCCTCATCACGTTTGGTGGAATCCTAATAAAAAATTTAGGATTTTCACCTATCCAAGCGTCCCTATTAAACATGCCTACTGGTGTGATGTCAACGCTTTCGGCTTTTATCTTCTCTAGTCTTGCTGCTAGATGGGCGAATAGACGGTGCCTTGTCACTATGCTTGCTGCTTCAGTTCCCGTTATTGGATCTTTAATCGTTTACACTCTGAAGAGAACGGACATCCCTGCTCAAATAATTGGACTGTACTTTGTGAGTCAATGCTTGGAACTCAATATGAATCTGTGATAAATACTAACATTTCAAAGCTGTATACCTATTTTGGCCCTTATGTTGTTGGTAGGTTTGAACCATACCTTCTATATGGATACACCCGGCTAATGTATGTCAAGGCATATCTCTCGCTCAAGCAAATACGGCAGGCCACACGAAGAAGAATGTCCAATATTCAATCTTATACATAGGTTATGCAGTTGGTACGTTCTGTTCCTGGGTCGAATAATTAACATGCTTCGTTACTAACCCCTGACTACCAGGGAATTTGATCGGACCTCAAACATTTCGTGATAGTCAGGCTCCTGCATACACAGGCGGGTTTATCGCAATGCTTGTTTGCTATTGTTCCTGTATACTGCTCATGGGGGTGTATTGGATTCTAGCCGCATGGATGAACAAACGGGCTAGCAGAGCTCGTGTGTCAGCTACTTGTGAAGGAGTTTCGGTAGAGAACCATATAGACCAGTTCATGGATAAATCGGACTTTAAACAAGTGAACTTCAAATATACCACATGATTCGGTGTTGTGCTGGGTATAATTTGAGCAGGATTCAGTCGGATGGACTTAACTTAGATTAGGGCAAATGAGACATTGCTTTTAGAGTACCAATTACTTGTTTCGTTTTTTTTTTTTTTTTTTTTTTTTTTTTTTTTTTTTTTGCATTGAAGTACAAGGGAACGCAGTTAAATGATGTAAGTAAACGCAGAAAATAGGTAATAAGAAAAGCTGAACGAAGGCAACCATTTAACTGTTTAAACAGCAGACAAGGACGCTATACATGATCAAAGCAATGAGTCGAAATAATGGAGGTGGTGAAAGGTCGTAAGAAAACGAACCATGACCTCCCAAATCAGGACGGGTGTTGGGTGTGAGAAGGTATGCGAGGAGGAATGCGTGAAGTTGCAAAACCGAATCACCATCCCCATGCCGTTTCCATTCCTGACAATAAAAGCCAATGCCATGCGCAAGCTCCATCCTTTTCAACGCCAAACAAAAAGAATAACAGGGAAAAGAAGGGAAGTTGGAAAGAGAGGTAAATGGAAGGAAAAGCATCGAGTTACACCATACAGTTTGTGGTCCACATCATAATATACTCGCACGTTTTTACCAGAAAACGATATGAATTGAATAAACAAGGAAGAAGCCTTACTTTGCAGCGGCTTTCCCAGAGAGGCCAATGGCCATCTTTTCTCTCTCGACTTTTTCTTTCTCCATCTGAATTCGGTCGGCTTTGGTGATTCGCGGTTTTCTGGCGCCGCCGCGGCCAGTCCCTGATTTACCAGCTGTAGCACCATCGCCGTTGGGGTGGTTCGTGGTTGAACTGCTACCGGCGTGTCCACCACGACCGCGAGATGATGTACCAGAGTTTCCATGGGTGGTGCCACTTGCGCCACCACGTCGGCCACGACCTCGTTTGGTAGTTCCATCGGCTCTATAAAGAATAATTATTAGTATTGTGAGTTAGGGGCCAAGTAGAAGAGGGAGAGGGCGTACTTCTCAACAGAAACCTTGTCGCCCTCCTGAACTAGAAGCCCGGAGTAAACAAAAAATCCGTCTTTGCAAGCTGCTGCCTGCTCTTCCCAGATTAACTCGCTGTCATCAACAAAGGGGTCGTCACGATCGTATTCCTCGATTTTGCGTCGACGAGTCTTTTTTACTTCACCATTGGGATTGGAGGCGGCGGTAGCTTCCTCAGTTCCAGTGCCGTTTGGTGTGTGAGTGCCCATGCCAGACATGTTAACATCGCCATCGCCGTCACTATCACGATCCACGTCGAGAGAAAGATCGTCTTCGGCACCGCTTTCCCCGCGGCCAGCTCGTTCGGATTTCTCCAAAACGGCACTGGCAGCCGCCAGACGTGCACGACGTTCTTTTTGGGCTGCAATGCGTGGATGTAGAGCATCAAAGCCGTATTGTTCCTCTGCCATCCGAGCAAAATTTATCACCAAATTTGATTTTCCCTTGATAGGAATGTTTAGAATGATATTTGGTAAGTATTTGGTGTCGGATGATGAGCTAGTGTCGCCGCGAGAGAGCAATAGAAAGCAGCCGATCCAGTGGAAGGCAGAGGTCGTGGAGGTTCCTTGTTGCGAGACGAAGCGGGCTTGGGGGATAAGGCACCCGAGGAAGGGTTTCCTGTAGATGATGCAGTATTCTTTTTGGGGCCAGGCTTTGAGCTCGCTGGCTTCGAGTCAATATCCATTGCGTTCGAGTCTTGTGATTTGGAGTGTGCGAGAGGCTGTGCTGATGGTTTGAAGGATTCGGTAGCTCCGTTAGCAGGGTTCTGGGTGGGTGAAAGGGTGGGCTTGTTGTCGGATGTAGTGGTGACAGGAGGCGGAATGGAGATAGCAGGTGTAGAGTTGGCAGCTGGAGGATCGATAATGCTGGAAATAGCTGGGGAAGCGCTAGCTCTGAATGGAGTAGTGGCCGGACGAGGTGGAGGAGTCACTGTATTTGGTGGTGGACTAAAGGATGCGCTTCCCTGGGGAGCTGGTGCGGGCTTCGCTGTGGGTACAGCCGGAGTAGAAACTGATGAGCTGCTCTCGATAGCTGACCGGATAGGGTCATAGTTCTGTCCGCTCGAGCGTGGGAGGGAAACAGGTTGAGCTTGTTGGGGAGGTGGAGGAGGAGGTGCATGGTGAGTGTTGTTGGTAGTGGTGCCGCTGCTATTGTTATTGTAGGCATAGGGCGAGCCGGCAGTGCCACCAGCTTCGTAGGCGCCGTTTCGCTGCGGATAGGAGGCTGGGTGATGTGGTGAAGGCTGTGGAGAGTGCTGTGAAAGACTCCGCTGCATCGAGTATGCGGGTGATGGAGATGGTTGTGCAGAGAATGTCTGCGGAGGGTGCTGGCTAAACTGATGTTGCTGCTGCTGCTGCGAGAGCTGTGGCTGATGTGCCGTCGCAGTCGAAGTCATGGAAACCATGTCTGTGATCTTTGCCTGGCGCGGTGTCACAGAGGGAGTGGTTTCATCGGCTGTATGCTCCAACTTGGCCTTCTTGCGCGATGCATCAGCACCGTCCTGCGGCTTGACATTGCTGTTCCGCTGCCTCCTTGGCTTCGGCTCGCCGCCGTCCTTGCCTGCTGTTGTTGCTCCGCCGGCTGCTCCTGCAACGGCCTTATCCCCCGTCGAGTTTCGCTCGCGCTTCGGCTTCGCTTTCTCCTCGTCGTCCTTGCGCTTGCGGACTCGCTTCTGCTTCGGCCCTGTGGCTGCTGCCGCTGCCGAGGGCGGTTCTTGCTGACTAAGCATGCGGCTGGTGTCTGTATTTGTGGCTGGTGCTCTGCTGTTGCGGCGGCTTTCTTTGCCACTTTTCTTGCTGGCGTCTTCAGGGACGGCAGGCTTCCTCTCGTCCATCGCGGTGCTGGTGGTGCCGGCAGTGACGGTGACTGTGCCGCAGCCGCTGGCCAGAGACACTCCGGAGTCCGCGGCGGGAGCTTGGGGTTCGGGGTTGGATTTGGATTTTGATCCGGCCTGGGATTGGAATGTTGACGGGATCGCGATACTCTCGCATTCAGAGAGTGAAGTCAGCGATGGCGAGGAGGTCGGGTCCATTATCCAGACATCCTGACTCTCAAGAAAAGCGAGCTCTCGACAAGGAAAAGAAAAAGTACGCTGCTGCTATTTAAATATAAACCTGGTATGGGCTCCCTCTATTTCCTTTTTGGCTGCTTCTCGACAGCTAGGACACAGGCGTGAGAAGTCGCGGTGTCGGTGTGCTGTTGTCGGTGTTGAGGTGAGGATGTCCAGGAAAGGAAGAGAGAAAAAAAAAGAACACCTTTTATGTGTGCGTTGTTCGTTGAAAGAGAAAGTAACGAACGGAGTGAGAAGATGGCCTAGTTGCGTGGTTGGCTGTTTTGTTGATGCGGATCGCAGAAAGGGCCAAAAAAATAGGTGGCAAGGGGAAGGAAAAAAAGTGACTGCGTTGGCGATGCAAAAAGTTGACGATAAGGAGGGATAGCGAGTTGAGATGGGGGATGGTGAAACAAGCACGTTGGCTCTGACGAAAATTCGAGCTTCAAGTTTGGTGTGGTGTGGTGTGGCGTGGATCGATAGCTGGGGGATAGCTAGAAGAGTTAAAAAGGGGAGTGAGTATATTACGTTGCCGGTGAAGACGAAGAGGATGAGGAAAGGCGAAAACGGGGGGAATGAAAGAAGGAGAAAGAGAAAGAGAAAGGAGGAGGGAAGAGGAAGAGGAAGAAAAAAAAAAGGGATCAGGAGATTAAAAGAAAGCAAGAGGCAGGCGACGGGCAGGCAAGGCTTACGCGAATGATCAATGGATGGAGAAAAAGGCAAAGCAAAGAAATGGACGTGAATGGGGGGGAAGGGGGACGGGCAAATCGCTAATTACACATCCTCTCACTCTTCCCTCAGTCCATCCAGTCCAGTTTCAATATTCGGGCAGTTTGTCGTATCCAGCGTATACATCGTACGGAGCAGCGCCCGGGAAGCGGGCTTACTTACGGAGCCACGGCTGCAGCGAGCGGTATCAGCAGGGACAGCAGGTGACTGACCGGCTTGACTCGACCTGCCTTGACTGATGAGCTTTTTCTCCAGATAGTTTAGGCGGAACCAGAGCAGCAGAGGTTACATAACTCTGTGTCCGGCGCTGGGACATGGGGAGCTTGGCGGCCACAAGCTGGCAGTTCGAGCAAGGGGAGGATCGAGAAGCCGAAGACCTTGATAAGAATGCTGTGGAGGCGGCGCGAGGAACTAGTGGCTAGCGCATAACAGGCGCAATCCCTGATGACTAAGGAGACGCCGGCCTGTCACCCTTAATATCTAGACGGCCATCGACAGAAGTGTCAAAGACCGGCGGCAATAGACAAGAGTAGAGCCCGTGGGGATAGACAAGGGAGCTGCTGGCTTTGTGGTCCGCTCAATGCAGTCGGTGAATTCCGTCGTGGCCTAGCACAGATCCTCGCTGTCGACTGTCACCTGGCGTGACTAACTAGCTGTGTGGTTGGTGTTCTGCAGTGTGTACCGACCGACCAGGGGGGATACCATCCATTCAGAGACAGGTCTTCTAGATGACGCATCATATTCGACAGCTATATATATGCAACAGTTAGTTTCAGATTTCGATACAGACTGCTTTATTCACTCGCCGGAGCTGTTTTCTTCACTCCGCTCCTCGCTCTCGCTGTCGCTCTCTTTTTACCTCATTCTCTCCCCTGTACACTCCATTGGCTTCGCCTAGACCGGATGACGGAGAAGTTCCACCGTCAAACCAGCTAGGCGCCGGACCTACCTCGCGCCCCCACCACACACCGTCCTTCCTCGTCGGCTTCTCAGCCTCTCTGTCCTCTGTTCCAATCCTCCCCGTCGCTGTTTGTTCTTCGATGTTGTTGAATGTTTGTCGTCAGAAGAAGAAGAGTTTCCCCATGTCCCGATCAGGTTTAGCGTCCGGACCTCGTGCATATCCTTGCGCTAGTCCTCTTTCGGATTAGCGGCTGCAGGTCCGTCCGCTAGGCGCTAGTCCTGATTGGGACTTAGAGTTTTAAGCCGCAGGTCCCGTGCTTGGCCCAGACTGGCGGGACAGAAAGAGAGAAAATCTTCGCCTTTTCGCTAACGCTGACACTTACACTTACATCAATTAGCCAGCGTCGATACGCCACCACGTTGTCGTGTCGCTCGTACAGCAGATTGCTGACAAGGGAGGAAACTCTGATTTGCCTTTGATTGCGACTTGTTTTGGTGACTTCGGCCATGGCATTTCGAGGTGAGAGGTTTCATATTGACCTCTCAGACGACGAGGACGCAACAGCTCCGGCAACAGCTCCAACAGCTTCTATTCCATCTCTCAGCAGCTTCGTTAGCGATATACAAGAACGTACACCTTCCGCGCCTACTCCTCCCTCTGCCCCGACTCCCAAGTCAACCCTTACCTCAACCGGCTTCCCGGCACATCGCAAACGCAACAAGGTATCTGCCTTCAAACGGCAGCGTGAAGGTGCAAGCGCAGGCACTGAAAATGACAAACCCGCGGTAAAAGATAATACGGAAGCCGATGAGAAAAGGGCTATTGATGAAGAAAACAGGCGAAGGATAGAGGCTATGTCGGAGGCCGAAATCAATGCTGAACGGGCAGAGCTTACGGCTTCCTTGCCTGCATCACTCATTGAAAGACTGCTAAGAAGGGCAAACATCGAAGAAGATCGCCAGGAAACACAAGGCAAGGAACGAGAGATACCTAAACAACTAGAACCGAGCTCTTCTGATATGCCGGATGAAAAGCCGAAGAAGTCAGTTTCGTTCGACATGCCAACTCCTCGCCAGGCTACGGTAGAAGAAGTTAAAGACGACGAACGGGAACAGACATTTACCCATCCAGATGACCTCCCACCGTCAAATCCGCCTCCTGGGTTACATCCGGCCTCCCAGCCGCCGCCGCCAATCCATTTTCCTCGTCCCCCGCCTCGCTCTGAGCCGATGCCAAATCTCGATCCATCATCAACTTCGTTCCTTTCAGATCTCCAAAGGCACTACTTTCCCGACACCCCTCACTCCGCCTCTAGCTTATCATGGCTACGATCCTCTGACTCCGATTCCGACCCGTCATCTGCCTACCACCCTTCCAGTACCGCCACTTCTATTGCCCCAGCAGCACTCCGCTTCTCACTTAAAGGAGCCATACTCGCACCCCGAACTTCGCTCTCCATCCCACCATCCAAGGGTCTCCATCACCATGCTGCTGATCCAGAGGCGGCAGGATATACTATTCCAGAACTCGCCATTCTCTCACGTTCCACGGTACCTGCTCAGCGGTGTCTAGCCTGGCAAGTATTGGGCCGCGTGCTCTACCGCCTTGGCAAAGGAGAGTTCGGTGAGCAAGACACCCCGTTGGTTAATGGACTATGGAGTGTGGTTGAACGAGAGGCTGTTGTGGCTGGTATGCTCTCTGAGGCTGGAGCGGATGCAAATATTGATGTTGATGGAAAGAAAGAAACCTCATCAGATGGTAAACCTACTACAGTTCAAGCAAAGCCTGGAGGTATTGGACGACATGCCAGCGCCAGAGCATGGGCTACAGAGGCGGTCTGGCTCTGGCGGCGAGGAGGGGATGGAAAAAGAGGCCTTAGGCGGGAGTCAGAAGCCATTTAAGCCGTTTTTATCCAGCTCTTTTCAGGAAGTTTCTGACATTTTAACTAAGATAGCATTTACGACTAATGACCTGATGTCTCTTGAGAAAAATTAAAACTAGCATGTTTTGGTGATTTAGCAGATACCATTATCGAAGAAATACTCTCGAATACATTATCGCATGCTTTAGTCAATTCAACAGCATATTAAACTCCTTATAGGTCTGAACTATTAAATATTACAAGGACAAAGATTTTGTCCCGAAATATACTGACTGCTTTTCGGAAAAGGATGTCCCCTCAATAGATCTTACCGATCTGTTCCCGTTTCCTAGGGCATTTCTCTTTCCGTCCAGTAATGAAAGCTCGACAATATGTTCCAGCCCGGCTAAGATGATACATAATGACGCTGATTATCCTATTTGGCCGCCCAGAGGACTTTCTCACACGGATCAGATAGTAGAGTGCAACGGTTGCAAAGATATTGAAGACAATATATGCCCATCCGATTCCAAAGTTCCTCCATCGGTCGCTCCAGTGTATTTCGGAGCCTCCGAGGAATTGATCGCCGCTGGATAACGGACAGTATTGGCATTGGGTAGTACTCGTTGGATTGTACAGCTTACCTGGAGCACCTGCTTCTACCAACTTCTGTAGGTATTGGGCACAAGTAGCTCCGGTCGGAGGGTCGAAAATTGCCAGCTCGTTCTGTGCACATTTCACTTCTCGATTGTGCAGTGAAGTTGCTGCAAGGCCGCCCACCGTATATGTGATAGGGGAGACTCGCCACATAAATCTCCAGAATCCAGGAAGGGCATTAGGCTTCTGAAGAACACCATTGAAAGTGACCATCAGACCAAACATAGTTGTGGCAATTCCTCCGGCTGTTTCAGCATCTGGTAAACCGGCAATTATCATTTGTGCAAAAGTGGATGCGAAGATGAAGAATTGGACGCAGTAGAGTAGCAGGATTCCCTGTCTCTCGGACGATAGATGAGCACCAAATGTGGGATAGAAAAGGGAAGCCCATGCAATTATTCCAAGGAGGATCTGATAGGGGATTTCGACGATAATATTTGCAAGAAGGAATACCTTCCAGCTATATGCGCGAGAGGGACGCTCCCGGACTTCGAACAGGTCTCGCTGTGTGACGAACCGTGGCATGATCTATTGTCTCGTTAGCCTTGACTCCTGGAAAACGAGCATCTCTTATCTTACCTGCTGGACAAGGGAGCTGAAAATGGTTGTAAGCATGAATATTGAGAACAGACTGTTCTGAAGACCTGCCATCGAGCTATTCTGTAGGAAAAAGGAGAAACCACTGTGGCACGCAGGGTATTAGTACCGCCAAATTATTATGGTTACCAGACATGTAGGTAACTTACATGAATAAGGCCGATGCTAGGCCGAGAAGAAATTTTCCCCAGATGTACGAAGGCGTCCTCCAATACTGTTGGAATACCCGAGTGGTAACGCAATATAGCTGAGAAGTAAAAGGCATGGCGAATTCGCCGGGCTCCTTTTCAGCTGATTGACCATGACCCTCATTCTTCTTGCTTGTTTCGGACTGGATTTGGTCAAGTTCTTGTTGAACATGACGGCTCTCCTCGCTTTCTTTCCAGACTACTGGCCAGTCAATCTTCGACTTCCCGCTTGGTCCGGCACCGACAATGTTAAGCATATACTCTGCTGGGTTTTCACTTGGACCACATGGCTCTGCTCCGTGGGTTTCGAAGTAGTTCAGTAAGGTTTCTGAGTTCTTGCCTATATCTCCAAAATAGACAGTCCTGCCTCCCTTGGCTAGGAAGAGTAACCGGTCAAACTGCTCGAATAGGATACCAGAAGGCTGATGGATGGTGGAGAGGACTGCCTGGCCGTTGTCCGCAAGCTTTCGAAGGAATGTAACGATAGACCAGGAACTCTGCGAATCAAGTCCCGACGTTGGCTCATCAAGGAATAGCAGAAGCTGAGGCTTTGCTGCAAGCTCAACACCAATAGTTAGAAGTTTGCGCTGCTCAACGTTAAGTCCTTCACCTGGATTTCCAACCACAGCTTCGCTGAAATCTTCCATGCTAAGCATCTTTATCACATCCTCAACATATTCGTATTTTTCCTTCCTCGACACTGACTTAGGCTGGCGGAGATCTGCGGAAAACCGGAGTGCCTCTCGGACAGTTGTTGTCTCTAAATGAAGATCTTGTTGCTGGACATATCCGGTTTTTCGTTGGAAGGATGAGTCTAATGGTCTGCCGTTGACCAGCATATCTCCTGTGATGACACCCATTGTAGTTCGCTGGGCTAATGCATCGAGCAGGGTAGTCTTCCCGGCACCTGAAACTCCCATAAGAGCAGTAAGTGTGCCAGGGCGAACCCAACCCGAGATGTTGTCCAACAGCCGACGAGGTTCTCCTTTGATGGTGATATCATAGGTAACATTTCGCCAGGTGAAGATATCTTTCTGCGGTGGAATCACTGCAACGGTAGAACCACCAGGCGCGGTCTCTCCCGCTGCACCATTAGTATTAGTGGGAGGTAAGCGAGCTGGATCATTGGGGTGCATGACACCGCCGGCGGCAGCCTCCTCATCCTTGGACCCCTGGAAACTCTTTGGAAGATGTCCACGACGGAAAACTAGGAATTCGGCAGACGAGGCGCTGGAGAGGTTGAGTTCGGAAACCATCAAGTAAACGAAATAGAAAAATGCTAGGAAACCCAGAAGAATCCCTAGGTTTCGCCAAATATGCGCGTAGCTATAGTCGTAGCTGGACTCTACCCATGCATCTCCCGAAACCGACATTTCTCCGGGGACAGCCCCAGCAACGGCACATGCAAAGTTTTTTCCACCGCCGTATGGTGGGACGGGCGTTGCACATCTATAGCGGTTGCCATGAACTTCATTCACGAGTAATGCTTCATAGGCATAGGCTATAGGATTGATATAGAGTATCCATTTGAACCACGGGTGCCTGATCGTGTGTTAGCTTGTGTGTTTCCTCGAGGTATGGGGGATTTTGTGGGGGTTATTTTAACTAACATATAGGAAGGCTGCAGAGCAAATCCAGTATATATCACAAGAGCAAGAATCATGACTCCAGCCAGAGCAAGAGCTTGAGGTATAGTCTTGGTTGCCGCTGCCAATGTGCGAAATATAGCTGACATGGTAAGGATGGTGATGAAAGTAAACAGGAAGAAGATGAAAAACTTCGCTGCAGATCTCTCAAGTCCTCCCAGGAAATATATGATGATATTGAATACCAAGGCTAGGAGAAACTTGATGGGTATATCTGCCACAATACCTGCCAATGCCTCTGAATATGCATGATAGAATGCAAAATTCACATGTTTGACAACAATAGGGCGTTGAGCATCTAAGGAGTGTTAGTATATTACTTGGAACGATCGGATCGGTAGTCTTACATAGTCTGTTTGAAAAATGTTAGCATCTTCAGTCTTTTAAACGATATATATGGATCTACAGTGGCTGAACATACCCATTAATTTCAGTGATTGACATAAGGCCGTTAAGAAGGATAGCGAAGAAGATGACAGAACCCTTTGCGAAGAAACCATCCGTTGTCTGAGGGGTATCAAAAAAAAGAGAACCAATAATCAAGGCCATCATAATTTGACTGATATTTGTAGCAATTGTAGACGATTTGTCTCCCCAAAGACGTTGGTATGCACGAACTGTACATAACTTCACTTGCATTGGCACGCTGATTCTGTATGGGGACTTCGACGTCGTATGCTTTGCCTGTGCCTGGCCATGTGTCTCACGGAGCTTTTGAAGATGTCCTTCTTCAGGTGGGTATTCAGCCTCAAATCGGTCCATGTTCGCGAGAAGTAGCTTGTTATTCTGTGATTGCTTCCAGTAACGTTCAAAGTCAACGGCTGTGCGTGGGACTCTGTTCTCGTATCCCTCCTTTGCTATTCTCTCCTTGGGGTTTGTCACGGAAGTTAGGAAATCGGCCGTTGTTTGTCGAGGCGGGCAGTACCATCCCATTTCTTCGAAGTATTGCTTTGCAATCCTGGTAGGACCAAAGAAGATCTGGCGCCCTTCATAAAGCACAATCACTTTATCGAAGATGTCATATATAGCCTGACTAGCTTGGTAGATTGCAAGGCACTGAGTAATGCCGCCGACTTGAGAGCCAATCTTCAAAGCCTTGGTGAACTCAAGAGCAGTAGCTGAGTCAAGGCCTCTGGTAGAATTGTCCCAGCAGCAAATTGGAGCACCGGAAAGTGCAATTTCAGCAATACTGACTCGTTTTCTCTCTCCACCGCTAACACCACGGACATAATCGTCGCCGACTTTTGTGTTATAAGTGTGGCTCAGGCCAAAGACCGACATCATCACCCGCGCCAGGTGCGTTGAAAAGTCCTTACGGCTTACACCGAGCACCCTTTTAGAAGGAGTACGGGCGGCAGCAGCGAACTCGAGGGTCTGTCCAACGGTTAAATGAGGGAAGTGATGTTCATCTTCGGCGCTATACACAGCTTCACCACGAAGTTCCTTTTTGAAAGTATGCTGAGACACGCCATTGTAGTGAATTATGGACTCTTTTTTCTTCTGAAGGCCGTGTAGTTCACCACAGATTGCTTTCAGAAAGGTAGAGCAGCCACTGCCGGGCCGACCTAGAACCATGAGAAGCTCCCCCTCGCGTATTGCTCCATTGAAATCATGTAATATAACCTTCTCGGGATTCCTACCCTTCCCACAGAGCTCGCCAGGCCGAAAGGGGGCTGCGAATGGAGAGAGGAATGTGTCTTGATATTGCACGGCAGATCCAGAACCTAGGACAGTAAGATTTCGAAACATGACCCCGGTTCTGTTACGTTTGATGCCTTCATTCTCCATAACATGGGTGAACATACGGGCCCATTTGTAGAAATCAAATTCGGGTTTCGTAGGATCAAGGACGGGGTCACCAATCTTCACGCCTGCAAGGGTGTCTCGTCGATTTAGCTGGCCACCATCCTCTGTTGTGGGTGTGACATTGGGATGGGAATCTACCCTCGAGAAGACGGAGGCAATTCGAACTAATTCAGGCCGAGACTGAGGCGACCACGTCCTGACAGTTTCGTACATAGCTCCCGATTCATAGTCATCATGTTCGTGTTCATATCTATCGTCCATGACATCGTTGGTCGGAGTGATTTCGTATATATCGGCAGCCGGGGTGGGGCGATTTGTTGTCTCTGTGATAACTTCGCTTTGGTATTCTTCATATTGAGTAACTGGTTGGCCAGAAAGAGGCTGAGGAGGCTGGGAAGCCATTCTAGCGGGATAAACGAGTGAATAGGTAGACTTGAGGAGAGACCAGATCCAATGTTGCGGTGCTGTTATCTATAAGTATCCAGCTTCATACTCAAGAGGCGATAGCAGCGAATGCTCCACACAACGCCCGGTGCATAAACACAGTCAAGTTCCTGAGCATCGGGTTTGATGGGAGATTCCGAGGCTCCCGATGAGTATAACATCCATATGTTTATATTTGTGTGCGAAGAAGCCATGACATCCGGTAAGGTCAAGTAATGGATGTATAACCTGGCCTGGAACCCACTCATGATAGAGTCAAGGTTACCGGGCGATTGCTGGCCCGGCCTTGATCTACAAGCTTGGGCAAACCTGGATGAGCCAACCAGGAGCTCTTCCATAAAACTTGCGCCTCGGGTAGCAGAAGTGCGTTTTGTTCCGTGGGTGGTACCTCTTAGGAGAGAGGCGAGACCTTCATCTGGACGGGGGTTCAAGTTGGACCGACTCCACCACGCAGGATGACGTTAAGCTGCAGAGGCTTCAGGCAGGCATAACTGAAATTTGTGAAGATCCTGATGGCCAGTCGGCAAGTACAAGGTCCGATTCTCCTTCACTGGCACTTGGCAGGCGGATTAATGTTGTCTTGGGCTTGCTTGTCCGAGGTTTCGATCGAGGATGCTCCATAATAACAATCGCGGCTGGTTATCAACACAGACAGCCTCATGTGAAGGCCCTGGAGTCCCGGAACGCGGATAAGCTGAAATTAGAATGAAAAGTCTCATCCATCCAGGGGCAGAGAGCACAGCTGGTGAGCCGGCATCGCGGTCCAGAGGAATTAGTTAACTAATACAGGCAGAGTTGGCGGATCAGGCACAGTCCCTGTGGACGCAGTTAGCAAGACTCGAAACACCTTAGGAGAGACTTAATCCTACCAGTTCCCATGGGCCTGTTTTTCGGCCATCATATTATCGCCATCGTGAGCTGGCTAGCCTTTGTGCAACAACTTCATTACTGCGGTGTTCAGTCGCTGTGGCTTCAACTCTGACAACGCCACAATGAGACCTGACCAGGCAAAAGGGGCCGAGCAATGATACGGTGGCAATGATACAAAACCCATGAAACTCCCAAGCATTATTGATCAGCTTGTTGATACTCTACACCAGAATTTTCGGATGAAGCAAATGTCAAATTTGTCGCCGTATCTTTCGTATTCTGCGCCAATAATATTACCAGCCAACTCGTTAAGATGAAACCCTGCCTCACTCTCCAATCACTTTACTTTCTTCGGCCCAACCTGTCGTAGTCGATACGATTCGGCTCAGAAGCGTTTTTGACCATCTCATTGTGCTTCATCTGTGCGTTGCTTGAATATGTGGGCAGTCTGATTGATGACCTCCATATTAGCTCGGTACTTCACCGACTCCCTGCCAGTAGCATTGTCATTGGGATCGCGAGTGAGCACGACGCAGACAATGATATGATTTGAATCACCTCGATGGCGGCTCGTTGTCCCGGTTTTCCGCTTCAGGTGTCTTGCCTTGGCCGCAGTCTGGTTTGTCAGTGACAGTGTATGCTGTTCTAGGGCCCTATGGAGCTGCCTGTCGAATGTCAAACGTGGGAAAAGGGGAGATCTCGGAACAATTGGTCCATTGCTATACCCACTGCGTCCAGTCGGAAAGAATAGTATCCAGCCTTCGGACATTTCGGATCACCAAGGAAATGCTTGAAGACCGCATAACCTCGATAACCTGGTGCAAATATTCCTCCTTGGTGAAGAGGAAAAAAGTATGGGTGATAAGCCACTAGTATCCTCCATGAGCTAGACGCCCATCGTTACTACAATACCAAGGGAATGAATATGCAAGCGTCGTAACGGGTCGAAGCCGTAATCAAACACTTGCTAACGATCATCTCGCTCCTGTTCATGCGGTCTATTGCTTTTGCCGGTATTTAGATTCTGCCATCCACACCCGTTTCTGTCATGATAATCGAGCTATCCGGAAGCAGCATCTTCATGCCACAATGCGTCATCCTATGGCATAAAAGAAATATATATACATTACCACTATACATCTATTCTGGGCATGTTTTCAATAAACGAGCTTCACTGAAATCAGATACATCGGTTCATACTTCGTTTTAGAGGGTGTCTTCCACAATTTAGTTGTGAAAGCTAAAGGAAGCAATCCGGCTCAAATTTCAGGGTCCTGCATGAACTTATGGTACACATAGGATCCTAAATATTTTTTCTTCCTGGCGTACATATGCCAAAAAGATTTTTTATAACAAGAGCGCCAGAGTTGGATGCAAGTTGAGATGAGTTGCCCAAACCCTAACACTCCTGAGGATAATGATGTTTACGGTATTTTGGGATAGATACTTCGTTACCCCTTACCTAGGAGCTGAGATCTGGGTAACTCGCCGCCTGGTCTGTCAGAAAGCCGCCGTAGCTCCAGAGAATACAACAATCAGTCTGATATAATATATGACCCTCCAAAGGAACATCGGTGACCCTAATATAAACCGATGGTACGGTACGATGGTCATGGCGATGTGCAGCCTTTACCACGCATTATCCACGTTCAGGATTGAAAATACTGAGAGGGCTGTCGAGTGAAAGTCAATATGCATGCTGCATCCCTGGGAACCGGTTGGACTGAAAGCTGTTTCTGTAGCGCTATAACCCGTAACGAAAGAGAACTAAAAATGCAACATACACATCACATTGATCCCGGTCTTGGATGCTGGCTGAGAAGACTCGAGATCCTCTTGGCATTGACAATGCAGACGGATTAAGCGAGCTTGTGAGATCCTATAAGTATGCCGCCCCAGCTTCTGGCTGAGTGCTTATCGACAATGAGCCTGGCAACTTCATTACAACGTCTAACGGCGCCTTTTTGCACCATGATTCTTATAGTATTCTCCTATCTTACCGGTGCTCTCCTTGTTCTAATAACAAGTATGCTCTGGACTCGTTGGCAAAAGACAACTGATGAATCTGGCAATTATTCAAGAATACAGCACCTGAAGATTCTCAAGGCCCGCCACGAGACTGCATCTGACTTACTAGAGCTGGTTCAGATAGATGGTGCGGGAGCGTGGCCACCGCGCACTAATTTTGAGTCATGGCCAAGTGCATTGCGCCCTTATCATGATATCTACTTCAATATTATACCACTCCTGTCTACTGCAGAACCCTCACTAGATGATGCTGTCAACAAGAAACTAGTCGGCGACTTTCGGTCACATATGAGAAAGCTGCTCGCGGAAAAAATAAACCTTACGCTTGTCAAGGAAATCATGACTGCTGCTGAGGCTGGAAAATGGGATATCTTTCCTCGAGACGCCTACAATGGCTTCTACTGCTGCATCGCTGTGTCGCGCCATGCTTATAGGTGAGATGAACTCAAACTGTCAGTGTGGGCCAATCACGACGTTGCGGGACCCACATCCGGCAGTTAAGCTATGTGGGGCTGGATGAGCTTTGGCCAGTTGTGTATCCACTATTTGTATTGCTCTGGCTATCAGCTTCACTGTTGAGGGTTGACTGGTTGGTTGAACAACTGGCTGATTTATTTTATCTAGATGGGAACGATTCCTGTTGTTAACTTCGCTCAAAGAGAGCAGGTACTTGAGCTCCCGCCTGAGCTTGACCTGCCTTGGGGCTATCTGCAGCGCAACTTTGGCATCACCGCTGCAAGCGGGAACAATACAGCAAATGTCCTGCTCAATTATAACAAACGAGGCGAAAGAGTGTACAAGATAAACATTGCGATGCCAAAACTAATAAGGTCATCAGAGGAGACATTTTTCCGGATTTTCTTGGACATTGAGGTTTCGGTGTGTATAGAACTTGTCAGAAAGAAATAGTTCTTTGAAAGTACTTGCTGATAGCCATCAATTCACCAGGCTTTTCCTATATACTACGAGATGGTATATGCTATTATCAGCTATGAAGACAATAACCGGGTGATTTGTTTAAATTATCTAGAGAGCATCAGTTTCAGGCTGCGCTGCCTTCTGAGGATGTTCTTCGAAAATCTAATTGAGTCGCGCGTATCGCATTCTGTGTGGTTGAGCTATGTTCAGGGCTTCCAAGCCTGGGGAGTTGGAAGTATAGTCAACGGGGAGCTCATAAAGTACGACGGGCTTTCGGGAAACCAAGCTTTAATCTTCCGAGCCTTGGATGCCTTCTTGGGCATGGATCGTTATCTTCCTGATGAACAATCCAGAAGGTATATTCCAGTCAACCAGAGAAAGATTTGCCATTCTTTGAGGAAGCACTCTTTCAGGAAAAGTGCTCAAAGCCATGGCTACATAGAAATTGAACACGGTTTCAAAAATATTGTAAACCACATGAGAGTATGTGCTATCGTTTTGTACTATTCGCTATAAATAGACTATTAATATATAATGCAGGTCTTTAGGTCGGCTCATCGAGCAAGAGCATTCTCATACTTGGGGCAGCCTGCCCCTGAGCGGCTCGTGATGACGGCAGGAAAGTCCGTCCTCGAGGGAGCCACCAAACAGGAAACGGAGAATAATTTGAAAGCCTTGGACCAAATGCTAGCCACCAGGTTTAAACAGACAACCTAGCCGATAATTTGACATTAACATAACATTGGTTAGTTGTTGATATGCGAAGGCAGGGTCAGTAGCTGGTTACTCGCTGTAAGGTTCTTGCTTATTGGCGTCAATAATATGTCCATTTGTTACCTCATTCCATCTCCCACTTTAAAGCAGTTTCATCTAATGTTAAGCAGTCATTTCTGAGTCCAAGCCCAAGCTCATAAAGGAGAGAAATATGGCAACTTTAAGAATACTGAATAAGGGTGCTGTCCAGATGTTTCACCGAAGGAATGGTTATTTGACGACCCTCATCTCCCAGTATACAAAACCGGCAAAGTGGATGATTAACGGTATAAGAAGCGTAATCTCATGAGGGCTATCCCATACCCAGGATAATTTATAACATAATACAGAGTAGTTATAACATTGCTAGGAGGCTTCGGAGTTGACCTGGTTGCCTTTTCGTTTTGTATCTAAAAAAAGAAAAATCGGCCCGTGAGTAGTCACGTGTACTGCAGAAATTAATTATTCCATTTTATTTTTTTAATTATCAGCCAATAGAATGCAATCATTTGGCATAACTTATTAAAGTTGCGGTCATTAAGCGTTCATTGGTCCTTTGCGCTCTAACCAATAAAATTAAGAGCCTGTCGAAAAAGCTTCCAAGCCTCTCAACCTTCAACCTCGTAACAGAATCTTGAAGCTGGGTCGGTGTCTCGAATGTCTTCACTGGCTATGAATATCGTTCAGCTAACCTTCGTATTCTCTAACTAAGCTTCAACTAGCTAGCACCAGCCCGTTTGGGCTGTGTTGGGTGGTAATAATGATGATATAAATAGAGAGATAGGGGATTGTTCCCCTCCCAAGGCGCCCATATTTCTATACTCACAACAACCTCAACCTGCTCCCATACCACCGATATTTACAGCATCATATATACCCTCGATATGGCCCGTCTTTCTGAAATATGCATTATCGGAGGGGGAGTGAGTGGCCTTGCATCAGCGCTGGCGTTAGCCAAGTACCTATCGACCAGGGAGGAACACGCCAACATTACTGTTTATGAGCTTCGCGATCTACCCTCCAGCCTGGGCGGTGCTGTGAATTTGACGCCTAATGCACTACGAAATCTTTATAGGCTCGAGGTGCTGCCTCACATTTACAAAAACGAATATGGCGCTGAGGTGGATCGGATCGAGCTGTTCTCCAACTACTCTGGCCCTGAACAGCTTGCCTCGATGGACTTTGTCGACGCCCAAGGCGAATCTATGAGCGGATTGAAGGGCCTTAGGGTGTTGAGGCTGCCGCTACTGCTAGCCATGATTGACGCTATCCATGATACAGCTCTTCCTGGTATCACTTTGAATATCGTCTATGACAAAAAGCTTGTTAAGCTTGAAGAACTTTCTCTAGACGCTCAGGGAGGCGGAAAGGTACAGGTTTCATTTGAGGACGGAACGGTGGTCGAAGCAGATCTCGTTTTGGGCTGTGATGGGATCCATTCAAAGACACGAATGAACCATGTCGACCCCGATCGAGAACCTGTATATACTGGCATCTCCGTGGCTCAGGGATACGTTGCTCGCAAAGATATCACGTCCAACCTTCATTTCAAAGATACAGGTATGATTATGGCTCGAAGGGGCTCATTGTTGACTTCTTTCTACGAGTCAACTCGAACGTCCGTCTACCTAGCCTCAGTTATGGAGGCTAAGGAAGCTCTATCACGAGATGGATGGAAAGCTAAAGGGGAGGATCAGGAGGCTATCAAAGCCGATATCCTTGATCGGTTCGGTGATTCCGTCTTTCCATGTGTAAAAGAGATGATCACAGCGTCAAACAGTTGGTACTTGTTCCCAGTCTATAAGCTACCACCTGGCGGGAAATGGTGCACTGAGAGGGTCATGTTACTGGGAGACGCAGCCCATGCAGTAAGTCTTAACGTGTACTAGAATGCCTCTACATTAAACATCCCTAACGGCATGTAATATACAGATGCCTCCACAGGGAGAAAGTATTGGCATTGCCATAGAAGACGCTATTCTATTTGCCAGAACACTAGCAAAGTATCGAGCATCCCCTCTATCCGAGACCTTCAGGGTATACGAAGAGCTGCGCCGTCACCGGATAGATGAGCAGTATCAAGAGGCATCGAGGCGTTGGGAGACTGTTCGTGATTGTGGCTATATCGTGAGCAAGCTCAAGGAGCTCTTCCTCCCATGGTGGATGTGGTGGACAAGCAAGGCTCGAGAAGAGACCTTCCTGTCTGATGCTGAAAGAGTTACAATCCCTTGATCAGCTATATAAGGTCCTAATTATATCATCCGCAAATATTCAATTGTCAAGAATTTTCTATCCTCATTCCCGCACTGAAACTATGCGACTACAACAACCGGTAACTTAATTTTTTCCCCTTGTTTCTTCGCTCATCGGCGCGCCCGTCTGAAGGCTGAAGGATGCAGGGAAATTAAATCAGGGCTGGCGCGAACATGGGTTGTGCATGGTCAGACAAAATCCCGTATGCGGCTCCCTAACGCCTTCTCAGAACACCTTCTTTATCTGCCCCTTAGCATATATTCCGGACAACATGGGCTACGACAGAATATCCAATATATTCCGTACAGCCACTTCGAGACGGGACCTTCATCTGTCCTTCTACGGAGTATAAACATCCCATTGACAATCCTGGACCACAACTGGCGTGATGGCACAGCCTCCCTAGCGCTAGGCCGATCCGACAGGGGTAGATGCAGGCTTGATTTTATATGTAGCTATAAGGAGCTTCTGTCCTCTTCGCCAGCATGGTGTGCTTTTCTCTCTTTTACCCTCCAGGAGTTCTAGGAGAAAAATGGAGTCAGAATCTATTCCCCTCTATCAGCAAAAATCAACGCTTCCCCCTGCCGAAGGTTGTGCCAGCCGGAGGGATATCCAAGTGTACGGAATTGCCCTGTTGCCTCCCGCCAACGGGATATGATGACAGGTGCTAATGCATAGGCAGCAGCAGTGAGCTGCAACACCTGTCGCCTTGTGCTTCAGCTGCAGCAGCGCTAAACGATGACAGTGACGACGATGATATCCATGATGATGACCATGACAATGACGACGGAAAATTGACAGCCTCACATACGCAAAGCAATAGATCATCGAGCAAGCGAGAAAACCTGAAGGTAGTTTTAGGAAGAAGCAGGACGAAAGCAGTTCAGCACTTTCTCCTGTTCCATCTTGTCCCGATATCTGGAGCCGTGGGTCTCATCGTCTTGAATATAACTACGAAGTTCTATACCGGAGACCCGACTTGGATACCCCTCCTGCAGTTTGTTGCAAAAGTTCACGAATCGCTAATTGTGCTCTCGATTGTCGTTGTCATGCTCACTTACCTCCAGTACCTCCTCATTCATAGACGAGCGGTACCATTTGGATCCATCTTTTTCGCCCATCAAATGACACATATGGGCTATCTGATTTCTCCTGAATTCCGAGCTGCTCTAACGACACCCGAATTCCCACTACCGATGAAGGTTATCTTTGCAATTACGGTCATTTTCAGTGTGCTATTGGCCTCCGTTGTTGGGCCTTCAAGTGCCATTGCAATGCAACCAAGAATGACAAACTACTCACTACCAGATTGGAGCGGGTTCGGCGTCAATGCTTCCAGCGAGTATCTATTCCCGAGGGTGCTCAAGAATGGTAAACCCCCCTATAAAAGTCATCGTGACTCAAGGTTGAACCCTGTTTTCTAACCCACTTCCTAGATACTCGTCTTCCATCTTTCTGGGAGGGAGTTGAAGGCCTTGTTATACCCCCAGTAACGTCTACAGCTATAGGCGAGACCTCCCAAGTTGGTGTTCAATATCAGACCAATAGAGACGGCCGTCAGATACTGGTTATGCCAACCTTATATCCTTCAACAATATTAGAACGTTCGTCGGGTTTGGATCCATTTTTGTATAATTATGCAATAGGATCTAGGACCATGTACCTGCAATATGCTCCTAATGCAACAATAGCAACGATTCCACAGATATTTGCTACATCTTCTTTACTTCGGGCCTATAATTATTTCCCTGGTCAACCAACCGGAATGTTCTTCCCTTCAGTCATCAGTACCAACCTACCGCAGGCCTACGTTAGCACCGTCTGCGAATTGAACACTATAATGGGGGAAGATGATAATCGACCTATACGCTTCCCGGACAGCTATTTCGCCGACTTCTTCTATAACGAGACGTCCTATTTAGAGCAATATCCTGTGTTGAATGTACCAAATACTACCGACCGTACAACAATTTCTAGGAAAAGTATTTGGGAAGAAAACATACAATCTCGGAGGGGCCGAATAATATGGGTTGACGGGGGTGTAGAAGTGGCTTCCCCAATCCCTGGAACCACACCAGCTGCCATAGTTGTTCATCCTGAACCTTGCAGGTCTGTAAACGGCTCTGCGTTTCTCTCAGTTTCGGCATGCGTCCTTGGAGCACGATGGGCGAACACGACTGTGAAATATACAAGGACTAAACAATATGACGAGAAAGGCAAATTGGAAAATGAACTCACGCCTGACTCTCTCGTCTTTACCCCTGGCTGGAGAAATACATCACATTTGATAAAAATGCCCGGAGAATGGACTAATGCGACAGTTGGGCTGACACGCATATTCAACCTCACGCGGGAGACGGATAGGCTACACCATTCACCCTCGATTGAACCAATTCGTATCGAGAATGCAGCCGACAAGTTGTTGAAGTCCTTGCCTATGACAGATATAATCTGCCCTGTCAACGGCACATACAGTGGTAACCACCGCCCCGTGATGCATGAAGCTGTCTTATCGACGTTAGTTGCAAATGCTATCTCATATCACCACTGTATTGTCGAACCCAGTTTTCTTTGGAGTTCAGGATGGAGACCGGCCATAAATGACCATTACAGCTCTATACCAATTGAACCACCGAAGACGACTTTTACGTTCCGTTACGTCGCAAATGGATATGCATGGACAATGCACGGGACGTCTATCAAATTATCAATTGCTATTCTTGGTTTATACTGCATTTTCGGACTCACGTACGGTGCATATTCGCTGATATCAAAACGAAGCTCACTTGCATGGGCGTCCCTCTCCGGCCTTGTTACATTGGCAATGAACTCAATGCCAACTAAAAGCTTGAAAAATACAGGAGCTGGAGTTGGTACCACTGACATATTTAGGAGATTGGTCAATGTCAAGGAACGAGGGAGCAGCAGGAAAATTGAATTAGTTTTTGAGAAAGATGTAAAGGAGGACCAGTCGCGCGATAATGTTGAATACCGGGATATTATAGCAGGGAGGGCATACTCATAAAATGGAGTCTTTAAATGTTATTCTTTATGTTGAGGAAATACGGCTGTTTGGTTCAGAGGGCAGGCTTCATATTTGACTATGCTGCTGAGCGAACTATATAGTTAATCATGCCGGTCCATAACTCTCCGCAAGGATCCTCATTCTGCTACATGTTGCATAGCCAGATAAGCTCATGGTTTCCTTCCTATAACAATATGCACTTTTAAGTAAAGGTGCAAGGATCGATCCTGAAGTTCGGCTCGAACCTTGGCACAAAGATCGTTGATCTCTTCCCGAGTCCATTTCAGCACACGGGTATATAGGGCAGGGGTATATGCACCGACAGCCTGTGCAATCTGCACTTGCTGGAACTTGCCTATCTCCTTCAGTTTAGGGTCCTTTGGCCACGTACCAATTGGAAGCTATGAAAAGTCAGCAAAAGTGCAGCGAAGAAGCAGCAGGTCAAGATTACCGTCAAAATTTGAACCTGAACATCTTTAAATCCGGCCCTTACCATCCTTCTGGGCCAGCTGTTAACTTCGGTCATGGATTTACCGAACAGGGCACTAGCTCTATGCAGATTTGCAATGTAGCTGGGCAGTATTTTGGCCCTCTCCATACCTCCGTCAACGGAGAAAAGTGTTGGATCAGTTGTTTGCATCTCGAGCCACCCCCCGGGGTTTAGATTTTCATATGCCTGAGACATGAAGCGGTCGTGGTCTCCGATGAAGCCCATTAGCTCACGACTATGTATGAAGTCAAATCCGGACGAGTATGACCAATCTGTTTCGTAGTCATCGATTTCAAATATCACGTTCGGTGGGACCCTAGAAGGATGCTTAGCATGACCATAGAAACAATAAGTCGTAGGATATACATACCATGGCGACTGGATTGCACTTAAGTCCGTGCCTAGTAGAATATGTGAGCTATAAAAGATCGGTATATATGGCAAGAGACGTAGACATACCAAATACTTCAGCATTAGGATGTTCACTGTTCAAATCATTAGTAGCTGTCTGTGATAGGTAAGGCAATTCAATGCTTACTCTGCAAAATCATTTACCCATAAACCTAGCATCTGGTTAGTCTTGTGGCCGCGGTTATGCCCCATGGAAGAAAAACGCACCTGTCCCTGTTCCTAGATCCAAAACCCTTTTTGGGTCTGATATTGGAGCAACGTATAAGGCACCACCAAGAAGCAAAAGGTATATATGGTGTACAAAGTCCATTCGATCTTGCTCCTCCTTATCATTGGGCTATAAATTAATCTTTAGTATCAGACTTTCGTAGGGGGAAGTGCGAAGATGTATGGGCGAAGTAAACGCGTACGAGTGTGTATATTCCTTCACGAAAGGCATGGTATCGTCGACCATTCTGTATCAACAGATATCAGCGAAGATTGGACTCGGTATAATGCCCATGATCTTTGTTTTCTAACCTCATATCTAGACGGGTGTTAGTGAACCTGCACTGAACAAAGCAACCAAGGGACTACTGCTCACTTATAATTGACAACACTCGAAGTCAAAGAGCTCAGATAGCTCTGTTCGTCTTGCCTGTCATTGAATGTTAGCTGGTATATCTGGCTGGGGAAAACAGGAGCGGAGGCTTTACAATTCGCTATGCGTAGATTCATCGTCATTCTCGGCCTGTTTCCACGCCTAGAATCAACATCAAAACCCGATCAAACAAACTGAGGAGGACTCGAGCAAGATTTTTTTTTCTTTTGGAATTCAGCGTACATCAATCTCCAGGCTTCGATCCGCAACAGCAACCATGGCTGTTTTCAACTGTAAAGAAGGTGCAACATTCGGTGTCCTGACTCTGGCCGGGCAAGCATAAGACGGGATCACAGCAGTAGTCTCGAATGAAATTCCGGAGTCGTTCACACGGCTAAGACCAAGTTTGAGTCGAATGAGAAATGTAAGTGACAATAATATTTTGCCCAAGAGGAAAGTCCCTAAAATGCCAATGTTTGGGCTTTAAGTATGCGAAGAAAGCTCCTTGTAAGTTGGTTGCCACTGTCCAAGCTTCTCACAGGCAAATGAACCGTATACCAAACAAACGGATCAACCTAAAGGGTTGAAAGAGGGCAGAGAAGGAGGAATCAAAGCGAAAACGAAGGGGAGGAAAGATAAGAGGTCGAGCCGTAGTTAAGGAGAAAAATGGTCCAGTGTGAGCCTTCTTTTCGGCACTCCACCCCGGTGCATCAAGTTTGTACTATGCGTATGTGCATATGCAAGATGGCGCTCCTCTTCCCCGTGTGTCTGCGCTATGGCTCCAGTTTCCCCCTCTGGATTTGGCTTTTGCGACAGGGATGATAGCGTGGAGTAGTCTGGGTAGCTTTGCAACGGGAGAAAGGCTTTGTACGTAACGAAACAGCCGGAGACCCCCCTTGCTTGTCACCACCGTGTCAGTGAATATAGATGTAACCCCCACCAGATAAATGACATGCTTTCGACGGAGACAAAGAAACGTCGACTGTGTCTGCAGATGCTAATAATAACATTCTTCCAAGCTGTTTGTTAGTTGACCATCCGTTGGGTTGGCTCGGCTGGTCTGCTGCATAGTTATCCGTAGCTAATGTGGTCTGCATATGCGGAGGAGCGCCTCCCATCTTGTTACTCCGTACTTGCCGCTGGGCTAGCCATCGACCCCATACCCCTTACCCTGGGAAACGATCGCATCTCGCCACGACGAGCGGAGGGAGCAGAAGAGAGCTCGACGGGACAACAAAGAAAAAGCCATCCGTGAACCGTGGTTGGGACTATGCGGCTGCTGGTTTGAACTCTTGCCCACAGACACTAACGATTAGTTTAAGCCCCAGGCCGGTCCGTATGCCAACTCTAGTGACTAAGCAGGGATAAAGTTGACCTGTATCGACATTTGTTAGACAATGGCAACGCTCAGTCGGTGGGATCCAGGATGGATACAGACTTTCTTTATGAAGGGCTGTCAAACAGAGCCCGGCAGCGACACAAGCTCCGGATATGTATATTGCTTCCACGCTGCCACTCGAGAGTCCAATCCCTCCAGGTAGCCTTTTAAGAGGGGTTAAACACCCCTGAATCATAACTTGTCAGCCGCCACAGCCGCGTCCTATTGTATCTTGGATAACTTTTTTTATCATCTCCAAAACCGTCGTTTGGTCTATCAAAAAATCTATCAAAAAAGCCATCGATTTTTGTTGTTTTTTTCGTCTTTTTTCGTCTTTTTTCGAAGGCTCAAAACTTGCCAAGACCATATGACTAAGCATAGCAACGTGACTTTTCTCTGATGACTAATAAATGTAACGTGACAATGACATCACCACATGACCATGACTAAGCAACCAATCAGCGTCGTCCTATTTGCACCTTGGCAGTGCGCAGGCCACCCTCACCGCCTTTCAGCTTAGTCATCCGTCCATCTTTTTGCTTCTTCTTCCTTTTCGTGACATCAAAAGAACCCAAAACGGAGCGACCAGCGCACAACACAACAACAATCGCCAACAACGACGCCAGCAACGACGCCAGCCGCCGCGCCCTGTCCTGCCTTAGCCTTGCTGCACCAGCGCCTGACAGCAACAAAGCCGACCTGCCCGCCCGCTGCTCCTCATGTCCGCACGCCTCTCCCGCCTGCACAGAGCTTATCGAGGTTCAGTGGCTTTGGGATAGCACCCGTCTTCGATAACCGCTGTCACTCGACGCAGCACCAGCGCACACCACATACCTTGATATCGACGAACACCTGGTGAACAGGAAAAAGAACAACCCACCCTGCAGCCAGACCCACACGGCCGTTATCTGATAAGGAGCTGCCTGGCCCCCTCTTCCTCCGCACGAACCTCTTTGTCCCTCCATCGACGACGGACAGTTATAGACAAAAGATCTATATATCTATATCTATATACGGAGCATCCTTCATCATGCGCGACCTTCGACGCCGTGCTCTCGAGAGCAACAAGACCGTCTCCCGCAAGGCCCAGAGCCGGGGAGTCTCTACGCCGAACTCGAGGACGCCATCAGCCCAGAGTTCTCGCCAGTCCTCGAGAAACGTCAGTCGCCACCCCTCAGACGACGAGGATGATGAAGACGATGATACCCGGAGTGTAGGAACAGCTTGGAGGTATGTCTTTGTACTTTTTTTTTCCCCTGTCTTCATATTAACTGTTCACGAGCTCACAGTTTGATAGCAACGTTTCAGCCGAGGAGTCCGGTGCGGGAGAAGATGCAGAGAGCAGCCGTGCTCCGTTGCAGGACGTCATCAACGAACTTATCGATCGAAAACGCAGCAGCGTCCAGGGACGAGAGGACTATCTCAACGCCTTTGTCCGGATGCTGACGGCCCACTACCAAGAAGAAGAACTGGGCAGTAAGATGGACGAGCTGCTCAAGGTGTTTGCCAAATCCATCCGATCCGAGACCAGCGAGAAGGAAACCATCCTCGCACTCAGGGCCACATCTCTCATGGCTGTTACCATGCTCGACGACACCATCTACCCGTCCATGAGCTCCGTCGTCAAACGAGCCGCCATGGACTCGTCATCTTTCGCCGTCAAAGCCGCCGCCATTCGAACACTGAGTGCCTGTACCATCTTTGGAGGAGCAGGAGACGACAGCATACTCGAGCAGATGAACTTTTTGATGGAAATCGCCATGTCTGACGGCGCATACGTCGATGCTGCCGACGACTCGGATACCGTTACCGCCGCCATCGAGGAATGGGGATTCCTCGCCTCCCACATAGAAGACCTCGAGGTCGAGAGTGAAGAGGCCGTCGAGGCCTTTGCCGACCAGCTGGAGAGCAGCGAGACCAGCGTACAGGTTGCAGCTGGTGAGAACATCGCCCTCCTCTACGAAAAGAGCTACACACCCAAAGAGGAGGACGAGTCAGACGAGGAAGACAACTACAACGCCACCGACGACGACCGTTCCTCCACCCCATCGGACGACGAGGATGACAACGGCGCCAAACTCATCAAGCGATACGATGCATACCACAACACCCACCGCATCATCAAACAGGTCGAGGCCCTCGCCCACATCTCCGGCCGCCACATCAACAAGAAGGACAAACGCTCCCTTCACACCAACTTCACCTCCATCCTGAACACCGTCATCAACCCCCGCCGTGGCCCACAGTACAGCAACGCCATCGACTTCGAAACCAACCAAAGCTACGGCAGCCGCAAGACGGTCAAGTTCCATCGAAACAGCTACATGCGTGTTGACCGATGGTGGAAATGGATCCGTCTCGCTGGTATGCGCAGGATTCTGGGAGGAGGATTCATCGACCACTACTTTGAAGGGAACAGAGCCATCCTCGAGACTTTACCTGTTTCTCTTGACGTAGGCAGCTCTGGACCAGCGTTTAGCGGTGGGAAGAGCAAGTCTGGCAAACGAGGAGCCGGAAGAGTCAAGGGGGCCGACGTCCTTGGTACTTCTCACTAGTCTTTTACTATCCATTATTTGCATTTTTTTTTTTCTCCTTTTCATTCCGTTTTTATGTTTTACATGGTTTATGATATCGATTTATGATGGATGTTCTTTCTCTCTGATCTACTTATATGGGTGATTCAATAAAGAAAGCATATAATAATAAAAGGGGAGGCTTGCTGACTGGTTAACGGTGGCAAATGCATGTACATTCGGGCTTTGATTCTATACTATCTGATGGGTCTCTTGGATGTTTTAATCTATTGATGTTAGAATCCTGTACTCGCCTCGCTTAATGTAACAATCAATGCGAGGCTATTCATGTGAACTCGTCCGCAATAAAAAGGCATTTGATCAATACATCCATCCACTACCGGTGGCCTCCTATTCATGGCTACTACCCTCTGAATAATAAAATGTGATTTGAATTCTATAAAGAGAGGATCTGAATTATGTACATTCCTAGATGTGAGCTTCTGATTGCCAAAGGTACCGTTGCATACATGCTAGAGGTCATTATTATGATAGCTACACGGGTTGGAGGGAGAGAGGGCCGATGAGAGTCGATATGTATAGATCGAGGGTATGAGGGCTTAAGGAGAGGAAACATAACATAACGCGATACAACAAACAGGATAAAATAACAGCTGAAGTGAAGACAATAAGGGAGGACTAACTGGATGAAAATGAAAAAGCGCAGTAATTTAAAGAGACGAATGAATAGAATAGATGGATAGGTAAAACACTGATGAAAGGCAAAGAAGAGTTATACGGTAGAAAGCAGAAAGAAAGTAAAGCAAAGCAAAACAATATGAGAGAGATGAGATGAGATGAATGGCGCCAATTCAAAATGTAGATGGTTAGATGCAGGTTAGTTAGTAGTTCAGTGAGTCAGGAGAAGTGGTTGATCATATCCGGTTCTGTGACTGGCTTCTCCAGGAGTCAGAGGTAGGGGGTATGGGTAAGGGGCCCTTTGGCGGAGGACCAGCTAGGTGCGGAAGACCAGCGGACTGCGAGCCGTTCCTGGTAGTATGATACACTGGTGAAGGTGCGGGACGGGGCGCAGCAAAGGGGCCTTGAGACGTGGATGTAGCGGAGTGAGGATACGGAGAGCGGGAGGAGCGAGGAACCGAGCCGCTAGAGTAGGTCTGGCCCTGGTTGGTGTTGAGTGATAGCTTCTCGAAGCCCATTGATGGAGAGTTATCTATGCCGTAGGTGGCTTGGGGCCGCGATCGGGGCGTGATGTCTCCTGCGATGTTGAGCGGGATTTCTCCGGAGGTAGCCTGGCGAGGGGTCTCGTCTGGGGTATGAGGGCCGGAGGAGGACGGAGATTCGCCTGATCCGCCATCGCGGGTGATGGCCTTGGGGGCCGGGGGAGCAAGGTATGATTTTCTGTTGTGCTGCTCCATCATGCTGATCGCCCATTCCCGAAGATTGACAGGGGTTCTCTTAGCCGCTAGAATGAATGCATCGTGGTCCTAATAGACGTATTAGTTCATGTATTAAGATCATGGAAAGTGGAGAATATAGAGGGACGTACGTATAGCTGTCGTGGAGTTGGTCGTTCTTCGGGCTTCTTCAGCAGACACTTTGCAACAAATTCGTCCAATATCTTGGGAAAGGCATCACTCTTGGGTAGTTTGGGAGCTGGTTCGTGCACGATCTGCTGGAGCAGGTCGAGGATGCCCATGGGTCCCGCACTCGCCCTGTCTCCGGCAGAGGTATCCGAGGTGTCGAAGGGGAATCTTCCCACAGCCAGTTCCATGACGGTCAAGCCAGCACTCCAGACGTCGGACCGTACAGAGTATGCGCCTCCCTGGATACGTTCTGGAGCCATGTAAGTGGAGGTGCCGACAAATGTATCAGCTATGGAATTGACTGTCTCGGTAGCAACGCCAAAGTCACACAGCTTGATGCTGCCTCTTGAGTTTACTAGGACGTTTGACGGCTTGATGTCTCTGTGCATGATCCGGTGGGCTTCATAGAGGTAGACGAGACCGGCGAAGATGGACTCGGTGATTTTTCCCAGTACATCGACTCTGACGGGGCCAAAGTTTTTCGAGATGTGGTCTAGAGATCTGTGCATTGGTAAGTATGTAAACCTCTATAAAGATATATGGCCAAACCTACCCGCAGTCCATGTATTCCATGCAGAGTACAATATCTCTGGCTTCGTTCTGGAATGCTCCGTAGAATGTGACGATCTGGGCCGAATTGCAGTCGTGGCCGACCTGGAGCTCTCTGAGGATCTGCTTCCGTACTTCCTCCTTTGCATCGACTCTGATGATCTATCAAGAGAGCATCAATTAGTATGAACTAGCAAAGAACCAAAAGAAGAAGAAGAATGCCTACCTTTCTGGCCATGACGACCTTTGTCGAGGCGTGCATGACCTTGCTGACGGTCCCTCCATTGCCAGCACCGAGCTCCTTGAGCACTATCAGGTCTTCACTGCGCAGGTCGAGTTTGAATTCCAGGCCAATCTCGAGGGTGTCTGTCCTGTTGGAGTCCACGTTTCCAATAGCCCCGGGAATCTGAGCATCGCCATCTGAGGGCTTCAGGCCTGGCTTTGAAGCTGCTGCATTGAGAGCAAGCCCCTTGACGTTCTTTCGTTTCAGCGAGCGGGCCTTGAAAGCGTCCGCCATGGTGGCAGCGTGTGTATTTGAGGATTTGCTCCAGGGACAAATCAAGGGAAGTAGAAAACCGACGAGGGTAGGTGAGTTGCTGCAGAAGCCTGCACGGGAGTAAACTGGCTGTCTTGTATCCTTTTTTTTTCTTCTCTTCTGGCCCCTTCGTTAAATGTTGTGGTGATATCGATCGAGAGTCAGGGCAGACGTTATGTGGCACCACGAGAAGTCCCACCAGCCGAACACCGCAATAGAGAGGGAGTCAGAGAGGCAGAGACCACGACGGTAGGCTATAGAGCGAGCAGATATCGAGACAGCAAGAGAGAGTCTGCTGGTATAACACGATCTCCAGGGGGAACTGGCCTGGATCTGCGGGCGTCTGGCAGAGGGTTGGCTGCCCTCGTGAGTGAGCGAGTGATTGTACCTGAAAGAGACCCAAAAAAGCATCAGCCGAACAAGTCCATTTCCGCGGGACGCAACCAGCAGCGAGAGAGACGCCCAGCTGCAGGGGAAAGCCTTGCTCGTCTCCTTACCTGGCGCTGGGGGGAATCGCTGGGTGGGCGAGTCTGCTGCGCTGCGCTGGACGGAGGTATTTTGGTGGTGGTATTGGACGGTGGGATAAGATGACGATGCCGCAAGACGCAGCCAATGGACGGAGCGGATCGCGGTTCTCCCACCTTTCACCTCTTTTATAGAGCGGCCCAGGCAGGACGAGGGCTGGCAGTTACAGAGCAAGACGATGGATGCCACGGGCGAGGAAGCGAGAAGGCTTTTTTTTCCCTTTCGTCTACAGCAAAGGTGTTACATGCTAAGTCTTCAGGCAAAAATCTACTAGTAACGCAGCTCCGCAGCGGCGACAGGGGGACATATTTCCAAAGCAGAGCAAAGCGCCGCCGCAGGAGAGCAGGTCCGTCGACCAGCCAGGCTCCCCTTCGCTGCTCGCTGCCCACTGTGGCGGGCGGGCGGGCGGTTAGCGAGCTTCCTCGACCCCCTTCGACTCCTTGGGGCCCCATCCACCGGGTTTCAGATCTCGCTCCTTGCTCTCTCCTTGTCCTCGCCGTCGTCATCTTCTTCGTCTTTCTCTATCTCGTGGGTTTTTTTTTTTTTTATATATAAATATAAATGCGTCTTTGGTCGCTGCCGCTCGGACTTGCTCCTATTGATAGCGCGTTTCGGCCGGCTTAGGTAAGAAGTAACGTGACTTGCGGCTGTCGCTTAATGTAGGCGCTAGACGCGGCGCTTAGCGGCTTCTTCCCGTTTGGGACTAGCGCTGTCCTGGGCGCCTCTGAAGCTGCCAAAAGGACTTTCTCGTCTTTCGACGTCCAACGTCTTCTCTTTCTCTCTCTCCCTCTCTCTCTATCTTCTCTGCTTTTTGCTATCGTTGTCGCTGTTATTCTGGTATTCTCCTCGCTGGCATTGTCTGGGAGGAGTTTGCGATCCAGACGTGTGTACTCGGAAAAGAGGTAGCGGTTCGAACAAGTTCCACAGTCATGAGCACTCACGACCTCTTGCAGACCGAAGCTGTCCTGGACGAGGAAGAAGACGAGTCCTTCGGCGAGGAGGGCGGCCAGCCAAAGGATGTGGAGGAGAACGGTCACTACGATGACTCCAGCGAAGAGGAGCTAGACGACGAAGACGAGGATGCCGTGCGTGCGGTAGGTGTCCTGCCCTGTTTTTTTCGTCCCTTTGCGACCAGCTGGGAGAGGTCGAGCTGGCTGACACTAATTATAGGTCCGAGAAGGCTTTATCGTCGATGAAGAGGAAGAAGACGAAGAGAGGACGGCCAGGCGCCGGGAGAAGAAGAAGCGTCGGCGGCAGGAGCGGGTAGAGGAAGAAGAACTGCTGGACGAAGACGACCTCTACCTGATCAGGGAGAACAACCCTGACTTTGAACTCCCCATGCACAATGAGGTACGCTTCTTTATGTCTGTGATATTGTAGGCGCCGGAAAAGCAAGACTGACAGCTGTGTAGTCCAAGTTCAAGCGTCTAAAGCGCGGCCACAAGGTCGGACGGGACCAGCCACAGGGCATCAACGACATCTTCAATTCAGACGAGGAAGATGAAACAGAGACATACGGGCGTGGTAGAGACCGGAGGAACATGCACGACGACCTCGACGACTTTATTGAAAAGGATGTCTTCTCAGACGAGGACGAGCGCCAGCAGGAGGACGAAGAGATCGCCCGTCCAGCCCGAAAGGGACTCTCCGGTTTCGCCGTGACCGAAGCCACCGGGCTCGATGAAGCCGCTCTCGAGGATATGCGCATGGCCTTCGGAGACGGAAACGACTATCTTTTCGCCCTGGAGATGGAAGACGAGGAAGAAGAGCAGGAAGAGGACGAGGAGAAGCAGCTCGACCTCAAGGACGTGTTCGAACCCTCGCAACTCGCCGAGAAGATGATGACGGACGAAGATAACATCATACGTTCGACAGACGAGCCTGAACGGTACCAGCTTGCCAGAAAGCCATACCAGCATGTCACTCTGACCGAAGAGCAGTTCAGAGAAGAGGCTGTCTGGATATCAAACCTCATGCTGCTGAAAAAGCGCCTCGATTCAGATCTACATGAACCATTCCAGCGGGCCGTCGCAAAGGTCCTCGAGTTCATGGTCACGGATGACTGGGAAGTACCCTTCATCTTCCAGCACCGAAAGGACTACCTTATCCATGCTGTCAAGATCCCGATTCCCGACGGTGGGACCAACCCTGATGGAGGGAAATACATTGTCGAGGCAGAGAAGCTTCTCAGTATGATTGACTTGTGGGATATTTTCGAGTACGACCTCAAGTTCCGTGCCCTCATCGATAAACGAAACACGCTTCAGACTACCTACGATAACCTACAGACAATATCCAATGTCAAAGACGAGATGTTTGAGGAAATGCTCCCCGCAGCTATTACCATGGAAGAACTCCAGGATGTTCAGGACTACCTCTACTTCCAGTACTCTATAGAACTCAAGGACATGGCTCTGGCCACCACCAATCACGAACGAGAGAACGGCACTGCCGCCCAGCGTCGTAAGGCCTCTACCAAGACCTTCTTTGAGCGCGTTCGCAACAGCCGTGCATATGGACTGGTCCGTGCATTCGGTATCACTCCCGATGCATTTGCGCAAAACGTCATGGAAACCGGTCGAAGACAATATATCGACGATGCAAGCGAGAAACCCACTGATATGGCCGACAACCTTTTGGACTCGAGCTTCTCCAACGGAGCCCATGCTATGAAGGCCGCACGCACGATGTTTGCTGAAGAACTCACCATGAGTCCCAGGGTTCGAAAAGTCATGAGACAGGCCTTCTACATGAGTGGAGTGATCGAGTGTTACCGAACAGAAAAGGGGTTAAAAAAGATTGACGAACATCATCCATACTACGAGTTCAAGTACCTCCGTGACCAACAGATCTCGGATATCGCGCGCCGGCCTGAGCTCTTCTTGCGCATGCTTAAGGCCGAGGAAGAAGGTTTGGTCGATATAAAAGTCCACTTCAAGGACTTTGACAACTTCAAGAAGCGCCTTTATCCCGAGATCCAATCCGATAACTCCAGTGAGGTTGCAGATGCATGGAACAAGGAGAGAAAGGATGTCCTAGATCTAGCTCTCAGCAAGCTGGAAAAGATAATGAGTAAGGGAGTCAAGGAGAATATTCGCTCAGAGTGTGAGAACCACGTTGCGCGCGAGTGCAGAGAAGTCTTCTCGACAAGGCTCGATCAGGCTCCGTATAAACCTAAGGGAATGATCCTAGGAACCATTCCTCGAGTCTTGGCTCTAACGAACGGATCTGGAATCGTTGGAAAGGATCCTATCTATTGGACTTGGGTTGAAGAAGACGGCCGAGTACTTGAGCACGGCAAATTTGTTGATCTTACCCTTGGCGACCCCGACCGCATGATAGCTGATGGAAAAGATGTGGAAGCCTTTGTTGAACTTGTTGAGCGCCGAAAACCTGATGTCATCGGCGTATCCGGACAGTCGCCTGAAACCAGAAAGCTGTACAAGCAACTATCGGAGCTTGTCCAAGCAAAGGACCTGCGCGGTGCTTTCTACACCGATGAACGAGACGAGGAAGTCAGTGATATCCTGGAAGTTGTCATCGTTAATGACGAGGTTGCCAGATTATACCAGACCAGCCGTAGAGCCGAAGTTGACCACCCTGGATTTAGTCTACAAAGTAGATACTGTGTTGCCCTAGCAAAGTATCTCCAGAATCCAATGAAGGAGTATGCCTCACTAGGAAGAGATGTGGTGTCTATCCAGTTCAGACCGGGTCAGCAACTCATACCCCAGGACAAGCTATTGAAACAGCTAGAAACCGCTTTGGTGGACATGGTCAACCTGGTTGGTGTTGATATCAACGAAGCTGTCAGCGATGTCTCAACAGCCAACCTCCTTACATATGTCTCCGGCCTTGGTCCACGAAAGGCATCCCAACTTTTGAAAGTCATCAATATGAACGGCGGCGTGGTAAACAGCCGTATGGAGCTCTTGGGAGTGAATGCCCAGTACCCAGCAATGGGAGTCAAAGTCTGGAACAACTGCGCTAGTTTCCTGTACATTGACTATGACAACGCAGACCCAGACACAGACTATCTCGACAATACTCGTGTCCACCCTGAAGATTACGATATCGGTAGGAAGATTGCTGCTGATGCCCTTGAGCTTGATGAAGAAGATATCAAGGCAGAGACAGACGAGAATGGACAAGGTGCCATTGTTCGAAAACTCATCAAGGAAGATGCCCAAGATAAGGTCAACGATCTTCTTCTCGAAGAATACGCCGAGCAGCTGGAAAATAACCTAAACCAGCGCAAGAGAGCTACCCTCGAAACCATCCGTGCCGAACTGCAGCAACCGTACGAAGAGCTACGAAAACAGTTTGTGTTCCTCGGTACCGACGCCATCTTCACAATGTTTACTGGTGAAACCGCCGAGTCGTTGGCCCAGGGCATGGTTGTGCCTATCACCATCAAACGTGTCTCGGACGACCATATTGACGGCAAGCTTGACTGTGGAATCGATGCTCTTGTACCCGAGTCAGAAATGACAGATAGATACGACATTCCCGTCCGAAGTCTCTACGCGCCTCATCAGACTACTTTGGCGAAGATTACCTACCTCAACCGAAAGTCGTTTGTAGCCAACGTTTCTCTCCGAGAAGACCAGGTGAACAAGCCCTACCGGCGACAACTAGATCACATGCGTGGCGAATGGGACGAGGATCAAGAGCGAGAGGACCAAGAGGCTATGAAGGAGAAGACCCAGACCGACCAGCGTGCTCTGCGTGTTATCAAACACCCACTCTTCCGTCCGTTCAATGGCAGACAAGCAGAGGAATTCCTTGCACCTCAGAGCCGTGGTGATGTCGTCATTCGTCCTTCATCCAAGGGCCACGACCATCTCGCCGTTACTTGGAAGGTAGCTGATGGAGTATACCAGCACATTGATGTTTTGGAATTGGACAAAGACAACGAGTTTACCGTTGGAAGAATCCTGAAGATCGGCGGTAAATACTCGTACACCGATCTCGACGAATTGATAGTCAACCACGTCAAGGCCATGGCCAAGAAGGTGGATGATATGATGGTGCATGAGAAATATCAGAGCGGCACCAAGGAGGCAACAGGTAATATTCTGCCCTTTCCATGCATTATAATGATATTCAAGAAACTAACAGCGATTTATAGAGGGCTGGTTGACGACGTATACTACCGCCAACCCCA